TCCCAAACAAAACTGTCCCAAAGCGAAGCACTCCCCTCCATGGAAGTAGGCTCTTCCCTGGAGGAAGATGTAGGACAGAGAGAGGGCAAAGCAGGAGCAAGAGCCGTTTGTTTGATTGTTTGAGACACGACCAGGCAGCACATGGCCAGTACATGGAGAAAGTGGTAGGAGTGCCGAGTAGGACAGGGCGAGCATATTTGCAAAAAGCCTCCATCCAAGCAGGTGCTTTCCAGCATTCTCAGCGGCGGTGGTCTGTGCAGCTCTGAGTGCTGCTGCAGAAGTAATGGGAAAGCTTTGGAGCACGTCTCGGGGATTTGCTGCACGTCTGTCCCTGCAGACGCAAGCCGGAAGACCACCACGGCCACACGCTGCCGAAAGGCTGCCGTGGCCACAGGGGCACGTGGCTGAGCACCAAACCACGGCAGGCTTTGGGCAAGCTTAATCATCACTCTGCAACCCTGCGGTGAAGCTGCGTAGTCTCCAGAAGATGATTCTCCCATTTCTGATCTGTCAGGTAACAGGAGGGAATATGCCCCGTGGTGAGACGGTGCTCTGCTTTCTGGGGACCAGTGTGTCCTCCCTGTCATTCACACACCTCTGCTGTATGGACAAAGGTGGTGCTTCTCCAGCCGCTGTCAGCCACTGCGGTTTGACAGTGTGGATTTATCTAAATCACATTACCTACCATGGCATTTGTTACTGCATAGTGAATACGTGGGTCTCTAGCGCAGGAATTCTTAATTTCTGTGGGGCGGAACATGGGGACCTGTCTGTACAGCACCAGTCATGACAAAGAAAGATTGAGGGAGACATGATAAAAGGCTGCCAACAAAAACAAAAACAAAAGAATAATTTGGTTTCTGAGTTCACTTTGTGCCAGATAGCGAGAACTCCTGCACTTCTGGCCAGATGAGTCTTTGGGATATGAAAAAGAAACTCATCATCATCTCGGAAACATTATCCCTGCCACTTCTGGTTTGGGATGGAAAATGAGCACGTCTGCTTCTCTTATTGAAGAGAATTTGGGCTGGAAGGGCACTAAGCAGAGGTGGGAGGAGGTAAGGGGGCGGAATAAAGGAAAGATGAGGCAGATCAGCTATGAAAAGTCACTCCGGGGTTTCAAACCTTCATTGCTCCAAAGTTACCAAGGGGGATGGATCAAAAATCTCTTAATATCCAAGTGATATTTCTCAAGGTTTTTTGCAGCAGTACTGCAGTTGCCATGACATCAGATTTTGCTGTGACACAGGAAAAAAGTTGTGGTTCTGTGCCCAGCCAGTCCTTGCACAACGTGGCTCATGGAAAACAGCCAGCAGAGCTGGCCCCATCCCTCCAGTCTCACCCGTGGGACTGCTTGTGGCTCTATAGATTAAGCCCTCTCCTATGGGCTAGGCAAGCTGAAAAGGATCCCCCTTGTTTCACAGGCAGATAGATTTTCTGTCCAAATATCTCCATAGCATAACATGCCATGTAAAAAACTACCAGAAATGGTTGCTGCAGGAGCACGGAACCGTTAGGTAGCTTGGGTATTTCCATACTGTTTCTTGGAGAAAACCACATCTATATTTACTTCTCAAAAGCAATAAAGCATCCTTTGCAAAATCAGAACAAGTACATTACCATTCATCCTCATTTCAAGTAGCGTGGGAAAACACAACAAACATATCACATGGATGGCTGAATTTTGTTATGATTATATTCCAATCCCACCAACTGTAAGACTTGTCTTCTGAAATGCTCCATTATGCTGACACTCCTGACAGAGAATTCCCTCTAGAGGCATAAAATCGTGCCTTATACTATATATAACCCCAGCAGGGGCAGCACAGTCAGTTAAAGAGTATTTTTGGCTTATGCTAAGAAGTGAAGAGAACTGGTTTGTTTTTTTTTTTTCTGCTCCTGTTATTTTGGTAAGTGTGGGGATCAGGACAGATAAAAATAATTATACCTGATAGTCCTCTGGTTAGCCTGCTCCTCAGACTGACATTAAACTTCTAAAAAGAATTCCTTAAAAGGCTCTGGGGTTTGATTAATTCATTATATTTTTAAGCAGGAGTTTTTAAGGTTCCATTTCCAGGCAACATGCCACAGCAGTTAACAAGAGGGTTTCACTGTAGAGAAAACACGAATGCTTCTCTCATAAGCACAAAACGCACCGCCACATTTTTCATTGCACAGACTCCATTAATTATCCTAACACAGATATTCAAATATTTCTTTTTCTTAACACCTGTAAAAACTGCAAACAATGTCTATTATGAGATAAATAAGAAGTTTTATCTTCCATCCCACCTTTTGCAAACCTGGGGGCTCCATTTTCATGGTGGGTCTGCAGGAGGGCAGGCTCCAGGAGGAGAGGTGACGCCTCCTGATGGCTGAAGAAGAGGAGGTATCGCAACCACAGATCACAACTGTTTTCTGATTTATATAATTTAAAACTATTTCCTAACACCTTTTCCTACCCATTTTCACAAGAAGCAATCCTCCTCTCACGAAATCTATTCAGTTATTAGTCTGTGCTGTTGTCGTGGAAATTTCCTTCCTTTCTTTCCAAAGCAACACGGTGTGCTCACTCATCAAAGGTTTGCAGTGCTGTCTCAGGTTTGAGAGAAGCTGCCGTGAAAGAGGAGGACAATCCATCAACCTGCTAGTGTAAGCTTCCCATCATTTCAGGGCTGCATGATGCAATTCATAGGGATTCAGGAGTTTTCTACTATTTCTAAACTAGACCTGAACCAAATCTGGGCTGCGCAGATTGCAATTCCTAAGAAGTGAGAGGACACTAAGAGCACCTCATGGGGGGGAGCACTGGACCAGCCTTGTGGTCACAGCCTTTCTGCTAACCACATTCCCTCGGTGTGAAGGACATCTTACCCCAGATTTCCACCTCAATTTGTTCTGTTCATGTCACTATGAGCATTGGAAATTGTGTTATTCTGTATGCTAGAAAAGCAGACCAAAGCCTCCACCAGCCCTGCATCATGTCCCCTCTGTGCTGGCCCTCACTGACCTTGGGCTGCGTCTCTTCACTGTGCCAGGAGTGCTGCGGTCCTTGCTCATGGCGATTAGCCTGCACCCCCGTGTGTTCCAGCTCTTCCTTATCTGCTCCCTCACCTTCCAGGAGTCAGCGGTGCTTTTTGCCATGCCCCTTGACAGGCTGATGGCTCTCTGCCCGCCATGGAGCTGTATGACCATGCCAACAGGCATGAGGGCAGCCAAAATAGGGCTGACGCACCCACAGAGGAGCAGAGTCCTGATCATACCGTGGTCCTCCATCTCCTCTGGCTGCCTGGTGACTGGAGAGCACCTTGTCCCATCCCCTTTGCCTCCATCCCACGGTGACCTGGCTGCCCTCCAGAGAGATGGTGTTCAACAGCATCTATGCCCCGGGCCTCATTTTCTTCACCATGGGTTCAGATCTCCTCTTCATTTTGTTGTCCTCCATCGTGGTCCTCATTACACTTCTCAGCTTTGCCTCCAAGGACGAGGGCCTGACGGTTGTGAGGTCTCAGTCTTCGTCCCACAACTTGGCTAGCCCACCCTGCACAGATTTGGGAAAAAGGCACCCCCATCTTCCACACTGTGATGGGCAACATCTACATCTTCCTCCCACCCCTCTTCAATCCTGTCTTTTACAGCATCCAAACAAAGCAGATTTATAAAGGCACCTTCAACTTGTTTCTTTATGGACCCCTTCAAAACAAGCCATAGGTGAGAAAAGCAAGCAAATGTCTTGCAAACTCAGAGTGCAGAACCACAGGATAACTTGGGTGGGAAGGGCACTCCAGGGGTCTCTAGTCTGATGCCCTGCTCAAAGCAGGGTCAGCGCATGGGCTGCACTGCTGTTGGCTGCACAGCGCTTCCAGGAGCTGCACTATTCTCTGTACAAAAACCTGCAGATTTGGTGCATAGGAGAAGCCTGCTGAAGCCAGGTGAGATGAGGGCATGTTTTGAAAGATTATGACCCAAAACAACTGTGTCCTCCCTGGTAACCCTAGAAACTTCTATCACAGCGAGGACTCTGCTGTGCCAGATGCTGTAAACAGCACTGGTTCTCAGCCTCCTTGTGCAAGGAGTCTCCAGTCTTGATTTAAGACAAGATTTAAGATAAACACAGTCCTGACCATTTTTATGTTTTTTCCTGTTTTGTATAATAAAGTAGCTAAAATAAATTGAACTTGCTGCCTTTGTCCCAATGAATGAATAACCAAGCCTGACCCACAGCCTCGCTCTATGCACCATGGAGGCCCCTTGGATGGGAGAAGGAGGGCCAGGCACGGCAAAGCCCAGATACCAGTTAGCGTGTTGGGTTTTGTTCACCAGGTGACGTTGGGAACTGAATGCTCTCAGTCTGGAGAGAGGGTTTCTGTGGGTGCCTGGGGATGAGGGTCTGTTATTTGCATCAGCATGATAAATCCCCCTTGGGGAAGCAGTATCTCCTGTTAGGCCAGCTGATATAGCTAGAAGAAGTGGACATCTCCTGAACCTCCCAAAAGTCAGAGTTCAAAGGTTTTCTCCTGTATCAGCTGCTCTAAAAGGCGAACGTGCAACCCCAGCCCTAGAGCAGGGCAAGGCAGGTGCCAGCTCCCTGAGAGCAGCAACGGCTTGGCTGGGAACTCTGTGCTCTGGATAGTGCTGGCTTCATCTTATTTCACATTAATGTAGAGCTGGGAGAACAGATGTGGATTCTTTGCAATCCCTCATTATTCCTATGACCCCCTCTGAAACACTCCCAGGTGTCAGGGCCCTTTGCATGGGTTTTCTCTTCACAGACCCCCGTGCATGCACTGGCAGGGAGCGCACATGAGAGAGCACTGCAGAGTTAAGGAATCGCTGCCTGCAACAGCCCTTAGAAACAAGACACCCACACGCGGATTGCATTGCATTTGACAGCACAAACTCCCCTGGCCCCCCTCCTTCCCCAGCACAGAGACACGGAGACTCTGCAGACATGGTGCTGGGAGGCATTTATTTGGTGGTTACAGCCTGTCAATACCCAAAGGGCATCTCCTTGTGCTCAGAGGTGCTTGTGGCGGAGCAGGGACTCTTCCTCGCATGGTCAGTCCCAGGATGCTCAGTGGTACTTGCGGGCCAGAGCATGAGCCACGACACCGACCAGCTTTTGCCAGGCAAACTGGCAAGCAGGGGTAAAATCCCTGGCAAAGTGGGAAGCCAGGACAATGATTAGGATGTCTCCAAGGAGCTGGAGGAGAAAGAGGAACACAGGGTTAGTGCTGCTCAAACCGTTGTGCTGCAGCAGACCACGGAGCAGGGACCAGACATCCCTGGGCTGGGGCTGAGCTTTTGGACCCACAACCTCTTGACGAGGGCTGTCCACTCTTACTGCACACAACTCCACCAACCCCACCCTGTCCTGCCATGTCTTTAGCTCTAAATAGCTTCTTCCTTTATGCAAGCTCTCCGTCTCCCTGGTTTTCCTGCTGCAGATTTCCCTTCAGTCCCTCCCCTTCCCGTCCCCCCCAAACACCACCCTGCAACGCATAGACTGTGGTTCCTTTCTCCTGACAGGGCTGAATTCCCCTCCTGAAAGGACTCTTGCATGCTGCGCACTCCTCCTCTTCCTCCTCAGCCCCCCTGCCTCATCGGAGTGGCCCTCGGGCTGCAGGACTGGTTACGGTGACTGGCTCACTCCCCATTCTCTGGGACTGCTACAACAAAATCCTCAGTCTTCGCATAGAAAGCTCTGGGTTTTGGGAAAACAGTATTTGCTTCATTCTTTAAAAAAAAAAAGAATGAAAGAAAGAACCTTGAAACTATTTCCCCCCCCATTTTTGGGATGCTAAAGCAATTTGGCCTGAGACCCACCCTGCAAAATGCTGGGGTTTTTTTTCTTTCTCTCTTTAGATGTAAATGAAGAAAATTATCCATTTTTATTTAAAAGTGTTGGAGGAGGAGGGAGTGTCCGATCCAGACAGGCAGCCCATGCTGGACAAGGCAGAAACCTGCTCTGTGGTTTTCGAGCACACTAGCTGCTTATCTTGCCATAGGACCTATGATTTCCTTAAACGCTCTGCTTAGCTTCCCTCTGTCTCTGACTCCTCCAGCCCACGCTGCACCTTCCTCTGGGTTTGCTTCCTTTGTCCCCTACCAGATCTCCTTCAGGTAACAATCTCCCAGTACCTTCTCCTCCCCATTGCTGTGCTGGTACTAAAAATGGGACTTTTTAGTGTGAAAGACACCCACACTCTTGCGAACAGTCCTGCACAAGCTATCATCTCGCTTGGGTGCTACACAGGGACTGCCTCCACCAGCCAAAGAAAGTACCCCTAGACAATGCTGTTGGAGGCAATACCCACAGTTTCAAAGCAAAATCTGACTTTCCCCACACGACACAGGGTAGGGGCTGGAACTGCAAACACGGCTCACCCTGAAGTTCTCGGGGTCCACATGCAGCTTCTCGCAGTGCAGCTCAGGCAGCTTGGCGTAGGTCACCTTAATGTTGTCCAGGTTCTTGACGGCTTCCCCAAAGGAGGTGAGCACTTTCTTGCCATGGGCACGGACCTTGGGGTTGCCAATGATTGCAGTGGGGCTGGAGAGGTTCCCGAAGGAAGCGAAGACCCTCTGGGTCCAGGGGTAGACGATCAGCAGCCTGGGGAGAGATGGGGGGACACAAGCAGACACAGACACTGTTAATGCTCCCAAATGCAATTGCCACGGTTTCTCTATCCAGGGTGCAGCTGAGCAGATGCCCGGGAGCTGGACCTACCTGGCCAGGGCCTCGGCACCGCATTCGGCCACATTGACCTTGCTCCAGACGCTGGCGATGAGCTGCTTCTCTTCGGCTGACCAGTGCACCATGGTGGCAGGCGGCTTTGCTCAGAGCTGCAGGAGGACACAGACCCTGTAGCTGAGCTGCAGACCAGTGGCTTTCATCCCCTGCCGGCAGCTCCTCCCCATCCTGCGCTGCGGGGTCATTGGCTGGGGCCGGGGTGGGGGGTCCCCACCAGCGGGGGAGCAGAAGGGGATGGCCAGGGTGTGGCACGCTGAGAAGGGGCCTCTGGTTATCCTGAGCTCAAGAGCTTTATCCCTTCCCCTCTGTGCAGGCAGCTCTCCATTTCACCTACCAGATGTGGGCCCCTTTGCAGAGAAAGGGCTGCACAACCCACTGTGCAATAGTCCATCATGATTTAACACGTGCGCATGGGACTCAATGGGGCGTGCGCCTTGTGCCTTGGCTCTCCCAAATGCTGGACTCTGCCTTGCCTCAGCCTCTACCAGCGAAATGACGAATGCACCTGCCAAAATGCAGCCCGTGGCAGAGCAACCCAGAGGGGTTTGCTACCAGCAAACTGTGCAGATACCTGCGCTGCAGGAGGACTCCAGTCTCCTTGCACCACCAGGAGCTGTGGGCAATGCTGGAGTTGTTCAGAGGATGCTCAGGCTTTGCAGCTGAAATCTGCATTAACCCTATTGTCCTCCTCCTATAACAGAACTTGACCTGCTTGGTTTACTTGTCCCTTTTGGAGCAGGAAGAAGCTCACCCAAATGTTCTCCCCTCAGATGTAAAAGGACAGGTCAGATGCAGTGATGCTGGACAGGGAGCAAGTATTAAACAGGATCAATCTTTTAATCCAATTTCTGCTTTCATTCACATCCATAAAGGGCAGGTGAAATGGGCTTTGAACACAAGGTTTGCCACTGCAGGATGTGCTGTTGGCTCAAAAAGCAGCAAAAGCTCAGCTCAGGGATGTCCAGCCCAGGGGGAGCCCAGGGCCTTTCCCTCCTGAACTTGCCCTGACAAGGCTGCCATATTTCACATTTTCCCCCACGTTCAGCTAGGCTGTGCCCAGTCTCCTTTGCCAGGAGAAGATTTTTGGGCTTCGTGTGAATTGCTCCCCTGAGACACCCCCAAGCACACTGGGGGTGATGCACCCTTGCCAGGAACAATGCCCTTGCATGGAGGGGCTCTCCTGTTTTATTTTCTGCATAAACTCCCAAGAAACACTGTCCTTGCTGAAAGTGCAGGGGCTTTGATCCTGATCCCAAGGCACCTGGGGCAATCCGCTGCCTTCCTGTTGTTTTCCACAGGATTTGGATTGGGCTAAGTAAGAGGCGCTGGGTCTTGTCGGACTAGTGACCAGGTAAGAGGTGGGGTGTTTGGGCAGCCAGGCTGCAGCAGAGCTAAAGAGCTGACCAAGCTCCTCTCCAGACAGCGGGGCTTGCTTTCCTCCATGGACCACCTCCTGCTAAGTGTCTTCTTGGCCTTTTACTGAAAATACAGGAATGGGAGGAAAATCAATTAAAAGAAAGAAAATACTGAGGGAGATTTTCAGCCAAATAATACCTCTTTCCCCCTTTAGTTGTAGATTTTTTTTTCAATGGAATAGGGATGAATAAGCTTCATTAGAGTTGCCTACATATGCATTTTCTCAAGAAAATCTAGTGCACGCGGGCTGGTGTGCTGGAACATGATGATAAATCAAGTTGAGCACTGCCTGGGTGCATGTGTGGGGGAGAGAACATGCAGGCAAAATGCCACTGGGCTGCTGCCGGTGCCCACCCTCCTGCACCACCTTATCGGCCGCTCCAGGACCTGCAGTGCTGCCAGCGCTGCGCTGCACTGGGCATCACCCAGGAGGTGGCTGGCTCCCACAGCAGCGTTCTGCCATCACGCAGGAGGCAAAATGGGAGCAAGCAAAGCAGCACGGGGAGAGGACATCCTGCAGGATCTGTTTTCTGGGGGGACAGGTACTGGAATGTCATCCCCCAGCTGGTGCTGGGGATGGGGAGTGAAGCCACGGGCAGTGCTAGCTGGCACCATACCCATCCTGCCGTGCTGCTGGGTGCAGGGGGTGGAAATCCTCATCCCTGCTCCCGGGAAGGGGTACCCCAGCAGGAACCTCGACAGTGGGAAGGGCCCAGCCCTCCCCTGCTGTACTGACTTGTAGGGTCTAACCTGAGAGATCTGCTTGGCTCATTTCTATGCCCAGACACCTTGCTTGCAGGAGGAGACCTACTTGTTCAAATAATTCAGTCATTTCTGCCTGAAGTCTAGGAACAATCATGTTCATACGAAAGTGTACGAATATCTGTCATGAAACCTATCAAAGTTCATGTAAGAATTTGGTTTTTTGTGACCCTGGACACCTGACCAAGACACTGTACTCTGTGCCTGCCCAGACTCCCTGCAGGGAGGACAGCACTTTGGGACTTACTGCGAGTCATCTTCTCACCATCTCAGTGTCTGCCTTGACACCAGAAACAAAATGCCTCTTCCTTCGAATAATCTGTGTAAGAAGGGGCATTTATGGGTCACAGAGGGCTTTTAATATCCTCCAGTGGGTCAGGGGCAGAGAGTGGGATGCCCACAAATGTGGATGAAGCAGGGATAGGACACAATGCAAACAGGGTGTCAGAGATACTGGGATATATAGCTATGCCCTCTTTTCTCCCTTTAAAAAGTAAGCCTGTCCTTTCAGCTAACCATTGCTTTTGCTGCGTCATGCTCAGTTCAGACGGGGCAGACGGTGCTTCCCATGCCAAGAACAAACTCTACCCTAGAGTCCTGCTCCACAGACACTTAACACCCAAAACACTCTGCGTGCACAGAGCATGGATTGATACTCGCATCCAGAAAATTATTAATGGTCACCGCTATTAGCAGGATTGGGCCCCCCATAATTGCAGAATGGGCAGCACAGGGTGAAAAAGAAGTGCATAAACAAAGTCTGGACAGGTCGTGATAGCAAAATGTTTATCTAAAACCTACCCCCACCCAGCTGGCTGCTCGGCCAGTATGAGTCAGCTAATTTCTTGTAGGCTTTATGCCAGGAATGAGCCAGGGTAGATGAAAGTTTTCACTTTATCCTCCCTAAAAAATATGAATCCTCCAAGTTCCTCTTGCCTGCAAGAAAACATGCAGGTTTCACAGTAAAATACCAACTAGTTCCTCAATGCAAACTTCCCAGTGCGTGACCACAGAGGTAGCAGGGCTGTATCTACCCAATACTCTGTAAATAGGATTTCCAGAGGCAAATCCCACACAAACCCCCCAAAAACATACAGAACAAAGGGAGGTGGCATTTTCTGGGAGCAAAATGCCTGCCCTGCTCAAGCTTACACCCCAGTCCCCCTGCGGGTGCCCCAGGTCCCCATCCCCCCAACCCCTCCAGCCTCTCAGGGACACACGGACTCAGTGGAGACTTCACAGGATGAGCTTTATTTGGCAGTTACAAGCTGTCAGCTCCAGAGCAGCATGTCAGCCAGTGCACAACATGCAGCTGCAGGATGCTGCCAGGGCTTTCCTGCTGATGCTTTAGTGGTACTTGCGAGCCAGAGCATGGGCCACCACACGGACCAGCTTTTGCCAGGCAGCCTGGCAGTCGGGAGTGAAATCCTTGCTGAAGTGGGCGGCCAGGACGATGATCAGGATGTCACCCAGGAGCTGGGGGGACAAGAGCACCCTCGGGTTAGCAATGCCCAGGAGCCTGCAGATCCCCACGCAAGCACTCGCATTAGACCCAGGGAAACCTCCGGGCATTTTGTAGGTTTAAAAATCTCCCTGGAGTCCTTTTTAAGATGTACCTTAAACTTGTTCTCTGCTCTTACTCTAAAGATTCAAGTTCTGCTACTGCTATGGGAAAAGTAACCAAAAATTCTCAAGAAATTTTGTTGATTAAGTTTTTCTTCCTCCCTTCTGGCTTTGTTTGGGAGTTTCTCCCGAGCAGAAGACACAGCTGAGCGTCTGCTGCACGGCAGGGAGCCGGCACTCGGCACTGCAAAGCACCCTGGCATGAACAAGGAGCTCATGCTGACGCAGGGGAGATTGCCAGCACCAGTGACAAATGTCAGGGTTACTTCCCCACTAGGAAACTCTCAGCTGCAGAGACATGGGAGCCAAAGTTTTCTCTCCCTCTAGGTCCCACTCCTCTTTTGCTTTTGGCATCTAGCTGCCATCTCTTGCTCCTCGCTCATCTCTCCTTTCTCCTCCGTGCCAAGCTTTGCTCTTGCTCCTTCGCTTTCCCTTTAGCTCAAACCTCTTCCTGCTCAACAACTGCTTTTGCTTTACTCACCCCCTCCCTTTCCACACTGAAAACACCCCCTCACTGCCTTCCCGTCTCCTGTGCATCCTCACTTGCACCCTCCAGATGGTCCCTCCGTAACCATCACCTCTCAGCCCTTTTGGTGCTTTCTCACCACGCTGCAGGTTGGTCCCTTCCCTCTCTGTCCCTCTCCTGCATCTCCCTCTGGCCCCAACACCAGCCCCTCTTCCTCCTGCACCAGCATGTCTAGGGTAAATCCCTCACATGGTGGGGCTCGGGGTTAGGGGAGAAACTGCCTACAAAGATGCAGTGGGGAGGATGGGGGTCCCCCGGTCAGGAGCATGGCTCACCCTGAAGTTCGGGGTCCAGGGGTTAGGGGAGAAACTGCCTACAAAGATGCAGTGGGGAGGATGGGGGTCCCCCGGTCAGGAGCATGGCTCACCCTGAAGTTCTCGGGGTCCACATGCAGCTTGTCGCAGTGCAGCTCGGACAGCTGGGCAAAGGTGTTCTTGATGTTGTCCATGTTCTTGACGGCATCCCCAAAGGAGGTGAGCACTTTCTTGCCATGGGCACGGACCATAGGGTTGGCGAGGACGGCAGCGGGGCTGGAGAGGTTCCCAAAGGAAGCAAAGAACCTCTGGGTCCAGGGGTAGACGATCAGCAGCCTGGGGAGAGACAGAGGGACATTAGCAGACACACAGACATGTTAATGCTCCCGTGACTGGAGCGGTTTCTTTATCCAGAGTGCAGCTGAGCAGATGCCCAAGGAAGCAAAGAACCTCTGGGTCCAGGGGTAGACGATCAGCAGCCTGGGGAGAGACAGAGGGACATTAGCAGACACACAGACATGTTAATGCTCCCGTGACTGGAGCGGTTTCTTTATCCAGAGTGCAGCTGAGCAGATGCCCAGGAGCTGGACCTACCTGGCCAGGGCCTCAGCACCGCATTCGGCCACATTGACCTTGCCCCAGAGGCCGGTGATGAGCTGCTTCTCTTCGGCTGACCAGTGCACCATGGTGTCGAGCAAGAGGGTTTGTCTGGGGCTTCCCTAACAATGATGAGGAAGTGGAGCCGAAGTCTGCCCCAGGGATTTTTATATACTAGTAACGGCTTGTCCTAATCTCAGTTCACGTAGCTATTGGTTGGGGCTGGGGAGGCATCTGGGCTGCGCAAGGAAAGATAGCAATTTTGGATGCTGTCCAAGGGGAAAAGAGGCCCTTTCCCCCCTCTGCCTTTGAGTGGACAAGCATCATCTCATACCCATGCACTTGTATTCGCAGCCCCGAGTGCAGGTGGAGCTGCCTGCATGGCTCCTCCCCGGCTGCAGGTTTCTAGTATTGCAGAGGCAGATGGAGGCTGGGGGTGAACATGTGCTGCAGACCCAAGAAGACAGGCAGTGACGTTCAAAGAGTTTGCAGTCTCCGCCTTGACCGTGTTTTCAGACTTGTAATGGTGCATTGGTGCCCTGCACTCCTGGGATTCATCCT